ATAACCTGGAAGGAGGCTCAGATCTACTGCAGACGGTATTACACAGACCTGGTCATCATTCGGAATCAAACTGAGAATAACCAGCTGACTGTGATGATGCAAGGATATGTAGGTGCTTGGATTGGTCTGTTCAGAGACGTGTGGAAATGGTCAGATGCAACAAATGTCTCCACCTCCTTTATTACCTGGCGGACAGGACAGCCTGACATGGTTGGGCTACGAAGACCTTGTGGTGTTTCAGATCCTTCTGGTCTGATCAGTGATCAGCTCTGCTCAGATGTCCTTCCTTTCCTCTGTATGTTCCGCCGTAAGTTTCATGTCTAATCTTTACCCATACCATACATTAGAGTAAGAACATTAGAAATGCACCTGGTCTGAAAGTGTTGTTAGTACTGTACTGTATATGTGAAAGCCCTTTTGCCATCACGCTTCTTACGGTCAGTCAGTCAGTCGCTTGTAACACCTAAAGAACTTACTTTCATGTATTCCAGTTCCTAATTTTCTCACCAAACTGCATAACAATGTTGAGAAGAGCCGAGTGCAAGGTTTATCAAAAGAACAAAGATAAGATTTACATCTGCATAATATACAATAATTGGGGCTGCCAAGTTAATTAATTAATTTGATATTTGATGCTATTGTTTTATAAAAGGGAAAGCAGCAATGTTTCTGATTGGACTGGTCAATTTTTGACTGCTCAAAAGTTATTGGTTTGGTTTTAAAAAGTCAAACCTAATCAAATTTGGTTATTAAATTCATGGTGGACAATAATAAATAATCCTTGTAATTTTCAAACAGACACAAAACAACAGATTGTGAGAGTGAAGGTGAAATCTAGTCAGAATCTAAATAACCCTGAGGTGATGGAGGTCATCTTAGAGTCGGTGAGTTTAAACTATTTGTCTTGAAACAGATTATTAATGAACTACGGTTGGTACATTACACAAATACAGTATGTCACATGACTTTAAAAAATATATCACAAATTTATTCAACAACAAAAAAAAAATGTCGGTCCTCACTGACAATTTTTAATAATAGATCAAAAAAGGCACTTTTTTGGAGAACACTATTAGATGTGTTTGATAAACTATTACAACTGTCTAACTACTGTCACTTCGCCTACACATAATCACGGACATATCCTTGACCTGGTCTGTTCCACACCCTCTCTCACTATACATAACCTTTCACTGACCGACCTCACAATCTCTGATCATCTGGCTATCACTTTGGATATCATCACCCCCTGTCCTACTGCCAAACACACCAGAACAATTACATTTCGAAACCTGAAATCCATTAGTCCCTTCGCCCTTACCTCCTCCATATCCCATGCCATCTCAACTTCTTCGCTTCCCTCTGCTCCAACTGCCTCCGATCTAGTCAACTTTTACAACCACTCACTCTCCACCTGCCTCAACCAAATAGCCCCACTCAAAACTGCCTCAGTCTCCTTCTCCAACTCTGCACCCTGGTACAGCCCGGATCTTCACATTCTCAAAAGACAAAAAAGACAACTTGAAAGGATCCATAAAAAATCCGGCCTCACTGTTCATGCCCAAGCCTATAAGCACGCCATAACCACATACAATTCTGCTCTCAAAAATGCCCGGGCTAACTACTATTCACAACTCATCCATTCAAATTCTTCCAACGCTCGCACCCTATTCTCCACATTTGCAAAACTGACCAAACCTAAGGATAGTATAACCTCCACTTTCACTACAGACAAATGTAACAACTTCCTGTCATCCTACCATACCAAAATCCATACCATACATTGTTCATTAACATCAACTTCCTCCGTTTCTCCGCTCCCTGAACATCAACTTACTCCCCTCACACTTGACAGTTTTTCCTCTTTCTCTCCTCTGTCTCCCTCTGACAACTCCTTTCAACTATGAAATTCTCCAACTGCCAGCTTGACCCGATCCCCTCACAGCTCTTTAAAGCCTGTCAACCAATCCTCATCCCTCTTATCACCAACATCATTAACACTTCCTTCATGTCTGGATCCGTTCCATCCCCACTAAAACTTGCGTCCATCACACCCCTCCTGAAAAAACCGGGCCTGGACCCTGACAATCTGGACAACTTCAGACCCATATCCAATCTCCCACTATTATCAAAAATTCTGGAACGTGCCGTCATCACACAACTCCACCAATATCTCCACTCCTCTCAATTATTTGAAACGTTTCAATCCGGATTCCGTCCACACCACAGTACAGAAACAGCCCTTCTTAAAGTCACAAACGATCTCCTCATTGCTGCTGACTCTGGTTCCATATCCATCCTCCTCCTCCTCGACCTCTCCGCTGCATTTGACACTATTGACCATTCAGTCCTCCTTCATCGGCTTAGATCTATTGCCGTCTCTGGCACAGCACTTCTTTGGCTAACCTCCTACCTCTCTGACCGTCACCATTTTGTCTCTATTAATAACTGCAACTCCCACACCTCCCCTGCCAACTATGGTGTTCCCCAAGGTTCCGTGCTTGGCCCCCTCCTCTTCACCATCTATATGCTTCCCCTCGGTAAGATCATCCGTCACCATGGCCTCCATTTTCATTGCTATGCCGATGATACCCAACTCTACATATCCACCAAATCCATCACCCCGGCTATCCTCTCCACCATCACCGATTGCATTTCCGACTTAAAGACCTGGATGGACAATAACTTTCTCAAACTAAACAGCAATAAAACTGAGCTCCTTATCACCGGCCCAAAATCACTCCTTTCTACACTACAGAACTTCAGTCTTCTTATCGATGGACATATTGTATCCCCCTCCCACTCCGTTCGAAACCTTGGTGTCATAATGGACTCCACCCTCTCTTACCGAACACACATCAATCATGTCACTAAACTATCCTTTTTCCACCTCCACAACATCGTCTGTCTTCGCCCCTACCTAACCCTGTCAACAGCTGAAATCCTCATCCATGCCTTCATAACTTCAAGACTCGACTACTGCAATACCCTTCTCTATGGACTACCTACTAATCAATTACAAAAGCTACAATACATCCAGAACTCAGCCGCCCGCTTGCTCACCCACACCAAGTCCCGGGAACACATCACCCCCGTTCTTCAGCAGCTCCACTGGCTTCCTGTACGCTATCGTATTCAATATAAGCTCCTCCTCCTCACCTACAAGTCCCTCCATAACCTGGCCCCGTCCTACCTCACTGAACTCCTGGTACAGCACCAACCCACCCGTCACCTGCACTCATATGGCACAAACCGCCTTACTCAGATCACCCGCACAAATTGCTGGACATTGGGGGATCGATCTTTTGCCATTGCTGCCCCCACCCTTTGGAACTCACTCCCTACATGCATTAGAAACTCTGTTTCACTATCAAATTTCAAAACAGCACTCAAAACCCACCTGTTCAAACTAGCTTTTCCTAAGAACACCTTTATTTATTTATTTTTATTTTTATTTGCTTTATTTTGTCTTTGTCCCATGTGAAGCGTCTTTGAGTGTCCAAAAAAGCGCTATACAAGTGTGATGTATTATTATTATTATTATTATTATCCAGCATAAAATTAATCTTCCAGCATAAAATTAACCTAGTATAAAAACATCAAATGTCTGTATCTCCTCTTATAAATGTGTCGATGAATGGTGACAGATCATTAATTACTTGACTGTGTCCAACAATTCGAGAATCTCAAATATTATTTAATTGATGTTCATATTATGTGATCAATGCTGTTATTGCTTGAGTCCCCTCCCCCATAAAATATCACCCTATTGGAGCCTTTCTACAACATGACTAATATATAATCTCATTTAAATTTCTCAATTTTAAACAAAATTGTAGTGTTATCGACGGAGCCCCACATGCGGACAGAAATAACAATTCATTGTCATTGTGGCTATGTTGTTTGTTCCCTCGGTTTAATTTAACAAAAAACTAAATGAATTAGCACAAAAAGGCCATAGTTTAGTAAATATAGGGAACAAATTATTATATTGTTAAGGTACTGTATGTGGTGACCAGGAAGCACGAGGAATAACTGGAAACAAGAATTTACTTTTCAAAAACATAAGAGACACGAAAAGCACATTATACAGAAACAAGAACTGACAAGGAGTGAGGGAGAACACAGGGTTTAAATACACAGAGAACAGACTAGGGAAACAATGAAAACTGGGACACAGGACTGAACCAAAAACACTAAGCAGGTGGAAACACAGGACACACATGTAACATATCTTGTGTGCACAATTTTTTTAAAACGAGCCAAAAAATTATTAAAATATACTGACGTATAATCGTAAGAACACATTTTCATGTGCCGGGCTCCATAGTCTTGTCCAACTCAACCGTTACTCAAATTACTGTAAGAAAAAACTATCACAAAAATATCAGTTTTTCATTCATTTGTGAGGAAAGCAGTGGTACCCAACCTCTAATCAAAGCAAAAATTTAAGTTTAGCACTACAAACCAATATTAAGTCCCAAATTAACTAACCTTACTAAGGAACAGCTTCAGCTCCTATAGGCTAAAGGCCATTGAGTCCAAAATTTTCGTATGTGAAATTTTCAAGGCTCACATTCAACATACTTTTGGTAAAGCACCAACACTCACTAAAAATTTGTTGGAAAAGAAAAATAATATGTAAATGTTTACGGCTTTATTATGAGAAATATGACAGATACTCTTAACACATGCTGAGAGAGTGTGCATATCAGTAGTACTTGGGAATAACAGGATTGCATCTATTCCTTAGGTAAAGCAGAAGCTGAAGGAACAGGGGGTAGAAATGGACACAACGGTGGCGTGGAACGTTCAACCAGATGGAAATGTTTTTCACAAGATTGAAAACCAACCATGAGTTATACTTTTGCGATGTGATGTATAACATTTTGCTAAATTAATAGAGAAACAAAACATATTTATGTTTATATTACATAAAATATGTAAATGTCTAAGTACATATTTTATATAGACTAGTCAACATTTGAAGTGTATCAAAAATGTTAATCAAGACAGGAACGGGTATTGTTCATGTATAACTTCACTTCACAAAAACTCAAACTCAAAAATATTTTTCTAATTTCTAGTCAAAATATCTTGTCACATTTAATAAAAGACAAAATCACCTAGAGCAAGATTTAAGTTTGATAAAGGAGCTTGTTTTTAGATAGCGCATATCTTGGTAAGTGAAACTGTCTTGAAAACATCTTGTTTTGAGTCATATATCTGATTAAACAAGCTTTTTTTGACATGTCATAAGGTTTTTTGCTGCTATGTTATTAATAAAAGATGAATCGTCTTGTTTCAAGAAATAGACTTGAATTGAGACAACAAATCTGCTTTATTGAAAACTGCAGGTCATGCAATTCACCGTGCACAGTACAGTGTGGCTATTTTTCTTACATTTCCATCAAACCATGTCCATGTGATATGTAAAAAAGACAGAGGCAAAAGCTGGAATTATGTTTCCTTTTCTGTTCTGCTGCACTATGGACATACTGCACCACATTATTAAAAAAAAGAA